TGGGGGATGGAGATGATCCTCATTGGCCAGCCAGCTAGCCAACATGGAAAGTTCCTGTTCCACAAGAAACCCTGTGTCAAGGGAATAAGGCAGGGGATGATGGTGGAAAGCATCCAGCGTCCCCTCTGACCTCCACCTGAGGCCACTCAGGCACACGTATTTGCACTGTCACATACATGTACCACACACATGAAAAAAAAATGTCAAAAAAGTTTGAAGAACAAATCATTTGAAGTAGTTTCTTCTTGTTGACCTAATGTGTTCCAATTTTTGGTTTCTTGTCTCCAACAAGCATTTTCTGTGGTAATGAGGAAAGTAGAACCACTCGATGCTTGTGGTTTCTTTGGCATATTGTATGAGATTTTATATTTTTTTGGAATAGTTGAATTCTAGCCTAGGTTTGTACTTAGCAGGAACTTCTTTTTGATGGTATTGATGAGGATGTGATAAGAAGGGAAGGCACTGGAGGGCAGTTTACACTGGATCTCTGAACTCTGAGGTTCTCTCCTCACCCCGCTGTAGCAGCAACAGCAGCAGCAATATACTGAAACTATGGTATGATTTACCTTAATTAGCATAGCAAATTGCCTCACATTTTCAAAAAGTGCTAATAGATGTTAACTCAAAATAGATTAAAATACCAGACAAATTGTACTACTTTAAAAAGAGTTATAATAATCTTGAAAATGTAGATCATGGTTATGCTGTCTTTGGAGTGAATGACAAAATCTAATCTTTCTTGTATACTTTTTCAAAACCTGGGGCATATGCTTTTTTTTCCTTTTAATCACAGTAATTTTTTCAAATAACACTTCTGAGTTTTTCTTTAGGAAGACACTTCATTTTTCAAATCTCATGTGAAGTAAATTAGTTACCATTGAAAGAAAGATGTTATGAGGGATTATGTTTAAAACACCTTTATTCTCCCATTTATATTATGTACATTTTATAGGTTAGAGACTGTTCCTTCACCCTAGCAAGTGGAATGGCACATGACAACAATTTCTGCAGGCTTGTGTATGTCAGCATAAGACTGAAGATGGTTTGGTTTCCCCTGGTGTCTTATACCAGGCTCAAGCTCTTCTTCGGCACCAGAGCACGTTTAGAGTCTACAAGAAGAAGTAGACATCAGCTGTGCTTCTGAGGAGAGAGTGCACATAACAGCATATAAAATCTACCATTAGGACCACCCAGAGACATTATAAGTAAAAATAGAGCATACGCCGCGTTCTCCCTGCATAACATTTCCCCAGCCAAGGTCTAAAATGATTTGTTTGCGTGTTCTGTGTTCTCTGGAATTTACAGTGCACAGTTACCATAAGGGTTGCTTAGAAGGCACACATTATCTACTGACGACCACCATTACCGTTCCATCACAGCTACACAGTACCGACTTGTTCTTAATATCCTGTGAAAGCCAGAGAATTCCCATGATACCATCTCTGTTGTTAAATACAGGTTTACCTTACTTCATGAAAAAGAAATAGATAAATTAAATTCCGTTGAATCAAAGGAAGTGATATTAGGGGAGCTGATGAAATAAATTAACCCTCCCTTGAAAGGGTTTGCTAATGTGAAAAATTCTTACCTTAATTTATACACTTCATAAATCTGTGTCTCTGGGTATCGAGTTTCCTTAAGGTGAATTACATTCCTCTTTCTGGAGAAGTTATACACTGGTATTTTTTTTTCTTTTTAAAATTGATTCTCCAGAAGAAATGGCCTGTCAGCCGTATGCACAATCCATGTGTGGACTGGAAAGGAGGTGCAGAGTGTGCTATGCCCACTGTTCTGCCTGCTTTAGTTAGTAGTTCCTTCCTGATAAGTGCCTGGACTGCGTGCATTTGCTTTCCTTTCCCAGCGCTCACTCTGACTGTGTGGCTCCTGTGCTGTCTCAGAGAAGCTTCTTTCATCCAAGTGTGTTAGGAACACAGCCCCCTGACACAGAGATCTTAAACCCGCAAGTCTTGTAGAACTGGCCTTCTCAAACCCTGGCCACGCACATCTCTGTTCATCATACAGAACGTTACATTACCCCGAGCATATCCGCTAGTAAAATAGGTCTACAAATCAAACATTTACTGATCAGAGATCACAGAGAAATTCATTTAAAAATAATACTTTGGCATACAGGTAATCTTACCACTTTTTAAAAGATGAAAGCAAGTTTACCCCTGCTGAGGTGGGTGTACTTGTTAGGAGCAGAATCCAGTCTTGGGAGTATTAGCTACTGTGGATCACAGAGCATCTTCAGTGCTTTTCAGATTGACTGAGACTTAGACTTTATAATTGTCCGTGACAGAAACATAAATACATATCCATAGTTCAAAATGGCAGAGGTATATCCAGAGTCAGAGTCATTTTAGAAATTATTAGAGATTGTCCTGTCCCACACCAAAATTCATTAATGAAAATTTTAAATGAAACTCAGATAACAGTTCTTAAAAAATCAAACACTCTAACAATGCACAATCCAAATTTGAGACATGGTGGTAGAAAACTAGACAAAAATCTTTACTTTTAGTAATTAAACCACTGTGTAGCTATAGGAACAGAAACCTTGAATGTGCAGCACAAACACTGCGACTCCTAGCTGCGTGACCGTGAGACCGTGTGTTTCAGGAAGCCTTTCTCGCAGGAGCTGTGTGGCGTGGCGTACACAGTGCAAAGTCCATTGTTGTGGGTTCAGAACCAAGGGCCTGAACACAGTATGGACAAGCACTGCCAGAAGCATCTCTGATTGAAATGGCATTTAATTTTAAATCAGTGTTCAGCCCTTGCATGCTCAGAAACTACCTGCTGCCAGACTTTAAGGCCTTCACATTTGTCTCTACAGTTTGTGGAGGTCACAATCCACAATTCAAGAAGCTGGGCTGCCCAGTCCTGATATCGTTGAGTAGAACAGTCTTCCTGCCTGGGAAGTATGCCTAAAGATTGCCCTTGCTGTGACTGTTTTCTTGAGAGTATCGTGACCACCTTTATGAAGGTTTACTTCGGTTACATCTAGAAGTGGAATGATTCTGATTAGCACTGCAAGAATAGGGTTATCTCGTACACATCCCTAGTTAACTCCTGCATTCAGTAGCTCTCCATCGAGTACCTGCTGCACTAACTGGCACTGCCATTCAGGGGGCTCCTTGTGTCAGTCGTGGTGCTAGGCATAAGATTACATCTAAGCCTCATGTTGGTGTCAGAAGGCGCCACTCTGTTGCAAAAAGAAGCGGCGGGCTGCGTCCCGCCACCCGGCTAGCTTTATCCGAAATAATTACATGAAAACTGTAGTCTTTTAAACATTACCTGGCCCATTATCTCCAGCCTCTTATTGGCTAACTCTCGCTTATTGATTCAACCCATTTCTAATAATCTGTGTAGTACCACGAGGTCATGGCTTACCGGGAAAGATTCAGCATGTCTGGCCTGGCAGCTTCATGACAGGCGGCTCTCTGCCTCTGCTTTCTTTCTCCCACAATTCTGTTCTGTCTTCCCCACCTACCTATGTTCTGACCTATCAGGCCAAGCAGTTTTCTTTATTAATTAACCAATGAAAACAGAAATACAAAAGACCCACCTACATCAGCCTTACAACAGTATAAGTCCCTTTACCTTGTTTTCATAGCTGAGCAATCCAATGAGGGGAGGAAGGGAGGGAGGGAGAGACAGAGAGAGACACAGAGAGACAGAGAGACAGAGTGAGAAAGGGGGATTTGAACAAGCACGTCATAACTAGAGAAAATTCCTAACAGCGGGGCATGGAGGTCCACATCTAAAAATCTCAGCTCTTAGAACATTTAGCATCTTGTGTTTGATACCAGCCCGGTTATGTAGCAATGACCCTGTCTTAAACCCTCTGATGACGATTAAGTGTCACCAGCACAAAGTGACCATGGCAGTTCTCGGTATTAAACAAAAACAACACCCTGCCTAAGTTTCAAGTCACCTGTTAAGACAAGAGAATAAGCAAATGGTCGGTATACTTCTAAGCTTACTTTCAAGGCAAGCAACTAGGGCTTCTAGATTGTTCCGGCTTTTGGGATTTTGTTGTTGTTGTTTGTTTGTTTGTTTGTTTTCTTGCGGTAGTGATGATCTCCAATAATGAGCATCAAAAAGGATGTTCAAAAATGTTTACCACAAATATCTTCATTCAGACTTAACTCAGTATAGCTTACACAGTACAAATGAAATATTGATGTATTCGATAATGCCCAAGTGTTCAATAAAGATTTTAAATAAAGCTACCTATAAGTTGTGGTTCTTAGGTTAATCATTTATTTATCTAAAGGATGAAGGAAGCTGTCTACTTCTGTGATATGAACTGCAGTCAGCTTAAAAATAATCGACAAATTAATCCCTTCACAGCACAGCAATTGTAAAGGTGTTAGTTTTAATTAGGCCTGTCTGATTGCCTTGTCTAATCAAGAATCAAGGTGGCTTCTTTGGCGGCTGAGGTCTGTTGGGGCCATCCCTGACCTGTCAGCTATGTATGTTTTAATTATTGATCCCTCGCATTTCAGCCCTTCTCACAAAGGGACTGAAGTTTGCAATGTCTTAACATTTAAAGAGAAGAAAAACAAACATTTTCCCTTGCCTTCTATCTGGAATCCTGTGTATCCCCCTGCCCCTCCCCCTCTGTAAAGTGTTCATCCTGAAGGGCTCTCCTGTGGGTGAAGAAGTCAAAGGCACGCCAGCATGCCATCTCATTGTTTCCTTCCTCCGTGCTCTGGCTTTTTAATGGGCGTTGCTAAGGTCTTGGCAAATTACAGTCATTTATGTTTAGCAGGTACATTTGATTTCATGACATCATGTTTAATTAAAAATCCATAGGAGCAGATGTAGTGCTGGGAAGTCAGAGGCATCAGACTAAAGGAAACACATGTCCAGCAAACACGGCCTCACGCCGCTAAGCGGAAAGGAAGGGGAGAGCCCAGAGTTCCTTGTTGTACTGCATGCCCCATGTGGTGCTGGTGGTCCCTGTGTCTGACATGGCTCTTCTTTGCTCACAGGTGAACGAGGTGACCGTTGAGCAGCTGGTGCAGCAGTACCCCCACATCACCTTCAGCACTGTTCTGCAGGACTGCAAGAGGACCTTGGAGAGAGCCTACCAGATGGGCTGGACCCCCAACATGTCTGCCGCTTCCTCCTAACGCTCTTGCCCATGCCTGAGCAGGGCAGAGAAATGGAGGGTGGGGCTGGGGTAACGGTTTTAACCGCCACCTGTCTGTCTGGACCTGTGTTATATTTGTGTCTTGTTTGCATATTGCATAGCATAAGTGCACTTGTTATGTCCCCAGGTGAGCTGGCTTGTGTTCCTAAAAATGGAAGATTATGAAAACCATAAAAACTTTTTTTTAATCCAAAAGTTTATTTCTCTAAAAAAAAGACTTTGTGAAATCTCAAGTCAGAAAACTGGGTGTATTATTTTGAGCGTCTAAGTTCCTCCACATCTTGGAGATGCTCGGCCAAAGGCTTTCTTTTGTGATGGAATACGCTGTTCACTTCTGATTAGACCAGAACAGGAGACACGCCTGCGGTTCCATGCTTGTGGACCCTCATGTCTGTGCACGTGTGCTCAGTGAATGTCTTGATAAGTTACATCCTGACTGAGGGACCTTCCTGGAGGGCCTGGGGAGGGCATGCCACTCCCACTGGTAATGGCTGACTCACTGTGCCCACAGGTGGTCATCTTGCTGTCTTGTGGGTACCTTAGGAACTAGAGAGAATAAAAAAGTCTTTTGTAAATTTGTATATGGAGGCAACAATCCCTGGCCAGCTCACAAAAGTTAATTATTCATTATTCTGTAAATGCTTTTCTGTTGAGTAATAAATATTTTAGTTGGTTTTACATTGACACCTTGTTAGCTTTTACTTTGTGGGTAGTTACTGGTCAGGGTATATTTTAGTGACATTTGGGGCTCATCTTAACATTATCCACATTGAAGCCACGAATGTAATTAATGGTGTGCAGCTATTTTAAAAATTTTACAGATCATTTCATTATTTTGGCAATTTTGGTAATTATGAAAATATATTCTGAGCTGGAGTAGTCACATTGGTAGATTAATGAATGAAATGTAAGTAGACAATCTTCCTATTGAATATTTTCTTTTGAGTTGGGATTTAGAACAGGTTTTTGGATATATGCATGTTATAATTTTGAATAGTTCTCACACTACTGCAGAGATCTACTGTTAGCTAATGTATGAATTAAGGAGAGAGTTAGAAAATCTGTTCATTAAGATTCTGTTTGCACTTGCCAGAAATAAGTATTTTAGTTTAATTAAATATTACCAGCATTTAGTTATCTCAGTTCCTATCAGAAAATGAGTATATGTTTTGATTTCATACACCTTTACAGTTAATCCATTGTAGGAACTCAGGTTCCAATAACCTCTCCTGTGTCTGGATCTATAATCAGGCAGCAGGGAGTCTCTTTAAGCTAAAGAGTGGTTAACTTTCATAGTAGGAGAAGCAAAACCTTGACCTTTGAACTTGCTATTTATTCTCCCCTCATGTGGTCTTTGGTCTTTGACAATTATGATGAGGTCTGACTTTATTTCCTGTAAACCCCGATACTCCTGAAGTGATACGAGCCGCAAGAAGCAGAAAGCAGCTTCCCGTCTGAATGCCGTTCGCATACGTACGAGAACTACTTTCCTGTAGAAATGCTGGTTTCCTTCGAGTATGTCAATATGCTTCTGATGTGGCATTTTCTTTTTTTGCTTTAATTCCAATCAGTTAAAAATAAATACTGAGCAAGTATCAGGAATATTTTCCCCCCACGGCCAAACAGGTTGCTAGTTTAGTTTGAAAAAAATAAAATTTGTTTAAGAAAAAGTTGTTTACTATTAGAAAACTACATTTCTTCTTAAACATTGAACTGTATCATTTTATATCCATTTCTCCACTACTAAAACATGTTATTTCATAATATTTTAACTGCTTTTTAACCCAGAAGTAATTTATAAGACTATGTGTATAGTAATAGTAGCTTGAATGAATAAACAAAAGTTTAATTTTATATGTCACATTATATTTTAAAGAGCTACAAAAGGACAAAAGAAGGAAAAGTCATCTTTGATACAGATAGCATGATGTCAGTTCAAAGTTGAGATCATTTTTGGAGTGTTAGGGTGAAGTCGTCAGTGGTGTCAGAGGGTAGAATGAATTCTGTGAATGTTGCATTCTTTGAACCTGAAGTCCAGCACTCTAACACGCTTTAGCTTGGGGGGTGGGGGCTGCACTTACTCTCTAAGATGCTGATAATACAGAAAACCTGTGCAACAGAACTGGGAAACTGCTTTGGCTCATTTATAGAAATCTGTAGAAGTATCATCCAGCCTCAAAGTATTAATCTCATAGAAACAAACAACAACAAAAAAAAAAAACAGCCAAGAAAAGCATCACCTCAGTGACCCTGGGGAGGGTGTTGAATGTGCTCTCATTAGACGCTTTGAAATGAGGCTTAAAATACTTTTTCTGGGCAATATAGTTCCTTTTTTGCTTAGACTGTCATAAATACATGTGAACACATTTAATGTGGGGCTTTTTATCCTCTCCAAATGTCAACAGTATTTTCAGAATAAAGCCTATGAAATATATTGCTGCAGTGGAAAAGTCTGGTCCTTTGTATTTAATGTCCTTTTGAGTGGATAAAGAAAATTCACTCAGTTTGTAGTTTCTATATTTCTGTGAATCTTTTGACCTTGCAATGGGTTGCAATAAAAGAGAAACCAAACTCCATGTCTTTTGTTTTACTTTAGACACTAAATGAGCTCCCTGTGGCTGGCTGGGTGGATGCACACGGTCATCGGTGCCCTTGTGCGTCTCACTGCGGACTTGCATAGCTTTGACTAATCTGGAATGATAAGCATGATTCAGAAACAAGACTCAGACCTCATAAATGTAAGCAAGTGAATTGTTTATAATCCCATTTTATACGTGGTTACTCATTTGCTTAGTCATCTGTTCATTTCCCCCCAAAGGCAAGTAAATAAATATATTACTTAGTGAGTAGCAGCCACGTGCTAGGTACAAGGGATTTAAGGATGAATGAAATTTACTCCCAGCTTCAAGTTGCTCATACTAAATAAAGCAGCAGCCTGCACAACAAACAGTGAATTGGAGTACAGCATAGGTAGTAACAGGCAGAATTCGGAAACAGCCCATTGCACTGCAGTCATAGATGAGTTAGTATGGAGATGTCCAAGTGACTAAGTCAAGTGTGTGCTTGGAAATAGGGCAGGAGATGCCATAGGGACTGTCATCAGAACACGGACCTGCCTAAAGTCATCATTTATTATTGAGATAGAGAACAAAGAGGTTTAAGTGAGTATTGTGTTTTTGGACACTCCAAAGATAGGGAAACTGATAGAAGAAGGAGACCTCAAAGGAAACCAGAAAGAGCGCATGTGGAAGGAGGAAGTCAAGTTCATGCTAGACGCTCACACAGAGTTATCCAGCCTCATGATGCTTGCAGAGTGAGATTGGCGTGATAGTTGGCTATTGGGGCCAGCATGATGGCTCAGCAGATAAAGACACTCACCTCCAACCTGAAGACCTGGGTTAATCCCTAACACCCACATGGTGGAAAAAAAAGAACCAATTCTCTCTTGTTCTCTGACCACCTGTGCTTTATGGCACATGAACTCACACACACACACACACACACACACACACACACACACACACACACACTAATAAATAACTAATATGAATTGACTGGTAAAACATTAAGAGGTTTCATAAGTACGATTTTAATAGTTTGCGAGGCAAGTCTAACTTAAATATCAAAACCACACAATTATAGATAAAATCTATAAGCCAGTGGAGTCCTAAATACAACTTAGAAGGTAAACTGCCTTAACATTGACTCTTTTAAACAAACAAACGGAAAAAAAAACAGATTCACCAATTAAATAATAGAAATTATTCTTTATAGTTCTGGAAGTTAGGAAGCCACACAGGCAAGTTTGGTGACTATAAAAATCCAGTGTTTGCTTCCAAGAAGGTACCTAGACCACCATGACTCGACTGACAGAGAGTGAAGTGGAGAGAAAAAGAACCACTCTGTCCCCATCTGAGAAGGTGTTGATGCTATTACCCATGGGGGAAGATGGCCGGCTATCACATCCTTGTGACTCACTCAGTATTCTTGCTGTTGAGGTAAACAGCCAACGTTATCTTTGGAAGAGACACAGACATTCAAAAGGCAGTATGCATTAACACCAAATAAGACAATTTATGAGTGGTTTTTAAATGGATATAACAAAAATGTTCAAAATAATTCATTATGTTACAAAAATCTTAGAAAACTAATACAAATAGGACGCATCGTTAACTAACCCCCCCCCAAAAAAAAACGACCTAAGGAACATTTTCTTTCTGCCAGTATCACTACCATTTAGCATAGGGAATGAAGAGTGCTGACAGCATAAGATGATTCTTCTAGAATGGGAAAAACAAATTTGAGTTAGGTATATCTAGTAAGAGTATCTACCAAGACAGTCAAAAAGCTCAAAGGAATGTACTCATTAAAATTAATAAAATAATCTAAGAGTTAGTTGGCTATAGTGTTACAATAGAATGTTCACTTATATCTTTTTGCATCAATGGTGAAGTAGAAAGGTGTGACTTTTTAAACTCCTTGTGGGCTGGAGAAATAGCTCTGAAGTTAAGAACACTTAACTGCAGTCACACAGAACCCAGATTCCATTCCCAGCACCCACATGGTAGCTAACAAAACATTTTACAATAGCAACAAATACATAGAGTAATATCCCCAATGCTGGGAGTGAAGCCCAGGTCCTCACAAATGCTGGGCAAATATGTAACTAAGCTTCGTACCCAGCCCCGAGCAACATAACTCATGACTCTGTAGATAAGCCATAATAATAGACCAAAAAACATGTGTGAGGAATATGTGTGTGCGTGCGCATGCACACTCACTAGGATGTTCATGGGTAGGATTTCCAATATCTTAAGCATGCTAGGAGACAATTCTTGGAGGACCTTTGCGTTTCTGTACATCTTGAAAAGAGGTGCTCAGTGTCTTTGCTCTATATTGTCTTTACAAACATGGCAAACTGTCCAGGATAAAGTATGTGTGCTTGCAAAGCCCTGTTCCCCTAGCACACGGCACATCCTCATGTCCAGTCAACCACTCCTTTTTATTTCTTTGTGGAATCTGGGTTGTCAAAACCTGCATAGAAAAGTGTAGATATTTGGGCTTCTACCACTCCTGCAAGGAGTCAGGCCCTGGGAAGCCAGTTTGTGTCTTCAGCCAAGATCCCCAAAACTGTTACACTTACATGTCGGTCTACACGTGTTCTAAAAATTCCACACCACTCTTAGCTCTTAGCATGATAATTTTCCCCCTAATTGATCTGCTGATATCATGTCATTGCAACCAAAATCCTTGTGCAAAATTTTTCATCAAACTGAAGCTTATTCTTTCTTAAATATACATAAAAAAACAAAAGATTAAGAACAATCAAATAATATTTAAGGAATAAGATTGTGGAATTTGCTTTACACATTTTAAGACATAACAAATAGTTGTTAAGGTAAGATGGCTCAGTAGGTAAAGACACTTGCTGCCAAGTTTGACAGCTCGTTTGATCCCTGAGACACACATACATGGTAGAAGAGAAAACTGACTGACCGAGTTGTCAATAAAACAATGTGATAAAGGCTTCAGGACTAATGGAGCAAATCAGACATTCTTGAAAATATCTAAAGTATATTATGGAAAGAGCAGTTTAAGTAAATGGGAAAGACTGGATACCCTAAAAAGTAAGAGGGCTATGGGGTGAAGTGATGGTGGCTTGGAAGCCAAGAGCTCTTGCTGCTCTCACACAGGACCTGGGTTCAGTTCCCAGCACCCATAAAACAGCTCCCAATTGTCTGTAACTCCAGCCCTAGAGAAAGTGACACCCTCTTCTGACCCCTGCACATATTACACAGCCATGAGGCAAAACACTCACACACATAAAATAAAAACAAACATTTATAAAATATCAGCAGTTAAACTGATTATTTTACTATTAAAAAAAAGCTTATTACAAATGAAGTCAAGTCAGAATCAGGATTCAAGCATAAATTTAACATAAACTCTTCATGATATTGTGAACTTCATTTAGTGATCACAGAAATAAAACTGAGAAGCGCTGTTTAGAAAAGTGGAGATCGAGAATCTTCTTTATATTAAAACGAGTAACTTGGGACTGGAGAAATGGCTCAGCGGTTAAGAGAGCGGCTGCTCTTCAGAGGTTCTGAGTTAAATTTCAAGCACCCACATGGTGCCTCACAACCATCTGGAATAAGATCTGGCACCCTCTTCTGGCCTACAGGCATACATGCAGACAAAACACTGTATACATAATAAATAAATAAATCTTTAAAATAAAATAAAATGAGTAACTCCTACTCGTCAAAAGGCTAAGATCAGAAGCTAATATGCAATATCTGTAACAAAAAGTTGTTCACAAATGAACAGTATCCAGAATATACAAAGATCTTTGGTGTTGAGTTAATATGGACAAAAGATGTGAATAGGCACTTGGCAGAAGGGAAAATATAGATGCCCAAATAATCATGGAAAACATACTCCAATCTGTGTTCTCATGAATGCAAACCCCAAAATACGAAGTTGATGACCAATAGCAAAGCCACGCATGAGACTTAAGTATAGCTCTCATGTTTGCCCTTATCTTACAAAGGTGACTACACATGCAGCCACTCCCTCACAGGTGTACCTCAGAGAAAAACATACACATGTGGACCCTAAGGTGTGCTGCAGAAGATACATAGGGATGATGTTCATAGGCAATAATTAATAAGGGTTTTGTTTTGCTTTGTCTTTGAGACAGGCTTTCTCTTTGTAGCCCTGGCTGTCCTTGAACTCACTATATAGATCAGGTTGGTCTCGAACTCACAGAAATCCTCCTGCTTCTGCCTCCCAAGTGCTGGCAGTAAAGGTATGCGCCCCATGCTTGGCAGCTAATAGTTTTTATTAACTGCAACAAACTGGTGAAAACAAATTCCAGCTCCATGTTGGATGAATCTTAAAACTTTGTACCATTTTTTTTTAAATTTCAAAACCATCAAAAATATTATGTCCTTCGATATGCACATGTGTTTACAGAGAAAGAAAAAGGGTGATGGCAAACATTCGTGCATTTGGCAGAGGTCAGTGGAGTAAAAATATAGGGCAGAACATAAGGTAAAATAAGGCGCTTTCCTTGGTATTGGTCTTTGTACCATAAGACAGTGTTCTTGTAATACATGGTCTAGCAATACAGCACTCACTGTGCATACAGCACAGATGTATAACAACTCCATTTTCTTCAAATACTAAGGTTTTAAATGATAGAAAGCTTTGTGTCTGGTTTAAACTGATTAACTGGATAGCAAGAATTGTTAGCCCTATTAGCAAAGTTCCCACTCACACAGTAGTAGATGTTAGTTGTGTGAGAAGCAGGTTACATTGATTGTCTCCTGTCTAAGCAGGAGGCAGAACGGCCTTGTGGTCCTTCTGTGGTCTCAGCACAACACTGGCTAACCTCCTGTCTGTCCAGCCATTACTGGAGTCTCAAGTGGACACCTGTGTGTGAGGGGCAGGGAAGAATTCATGTGACGTGTGTATTACGTCATTACCACTGGAAACCAAAGGGTCGCCACACTGATAATACGTTCTCTTCATTTTCAATTGGGTGATAAACATGAATCCAAGCCAGCTGGCA